TAGGACCATGCCTATGTCAAGCTTATCTAAATATATATATATATATATATATATATATATATATATATATATATATATATATATATATTTAGGCAAGTTATCTGGATAACTCCTTGATCCTACTTAGTTCTGCTGATCTCTAAATAACAGATAGTTCCAATGTTAAAGCATTTCATTGGCAGACAGATAGTGAATGGAAAAGGGAGTTGAACACAAACAACTGCAATATACTGTTGCATCCCATGCACACTCTTTGACCTTAATCAACCAATCAATCCCATTTATTTGACAAAGCCCTTTTTACGTCAGCAGTTGTCACAATGTGCTTTACAGTAACCCGGCCTAGACCCCAAAGACCATGAAACGCAGAAGCGAGAGCACAGTGGACAGAAGAAAACTCAGTAGAAAGAAACATAGAAAGGAGACTTGGGTCAGAGGTGTGGGCCATCCTCTTCTGACTGTACTGAGTAGAGATTAAGAGTATGCCAGAATGTTCTAACCTAAACAACAAGGTCATAGTCCAAAACAGAAAGTTATGCTTTTGTGAAAAATCTGATGTTCTCTCAAATGGTGTTCTCAAATGCAAAACAACAAACACGTCTGACTGACTAGAGGGGTGTTTCTGAGCACGTGACCAGGGAGAGTCTGTTGGGAGTGAATTGAACAGTGTGGCTGTGAGCTGAGAGTATCTGATCTGAGCTCGGTGACTCAGGGGTTCATTGTCTGTGTGACTTTGATACAGACATGCCAAGTTTGTCATTCGAAGGGCGCTGTACGACTGCTGCTCTTGAGGGATAGGGGTGAGGGGCCTTACAGAAATAGAATGGAATAGAATTTAATAGAATCGAATAGAAAAATACAATTTGAATACAATAGAACAGTAGTTGTTCAGAGAGGTTACAGCCAGGGAAATTACATAAAAACTTGGATGGCACAGGACTATGGCTTATTTGTGGTAGTTATTTTTACATTTACATTTTTAGTCATTTAGCAGACGCTCTTATCCAGAGCGACTTGCAGTTAGAGTGCATACATTATTTTTCTATTTTTCTATTTTTTTTATGAATGTGAAGTAAAAACAAAATAAGGCCTTTTTACATCCCAAATGGAACCCTACTACCTATAGTGCACTCATTTCCTGGGTAAAAGTAGTGCATAATGCAGAGAATAAGGTGCCATTTGTGACACAGACCCTGACTTTATCACACCCATAATTGAAATTGTGAAATTATGGCACTGGGTTTCATTTTATTTCAATATCAATTTCCTACCACTAGGGGCAATGCGAGCGCCTATTCCCATCGAGTAGACTTGCGATGAACTACGGGTTGCGGATGGGGTTGAGGATGGGCTTAAACCAAAGTATCAAAATTAATTCCTAAACTTAACCGTCAAGGTAAGTTTTGGTTTCACTTTTGCTCAGTTTGACTGACAGCTAACGCATGGGAGATTGGGGATGGTGGTAACACTTTTAGTATTTTTGTAAATTTCTCAGAGATTGTTTGAGCTACTGCATTCAAAGTGTGATAGGAACAGCTTCCATTTGTCTGCTACAAATTGGTATTATCTCTCTAAATCAAACAGACAAGGTGTGACTTTGTCTCAAATACAAGGAGTGAAATGTTACAATTTACCCAAACTCCCCAGTCAGTAACAGGGCTTGGGGTGAAATGGAACAGTTTGATAAAATGTATAAATCATGACATGCAATGAAATATTGAAAGTCTTTGAGAAAATGAGAACAACATTGCCATGTAAAAAATGTTGTGCGGAATAAATAATAAAATCCTAATACAAATCATTAAATGTTTATTGTTTTTACGTTCCATTAGCTGGCCCTTCTCAACTAAACAACAATATCTGACAACTCAACAACAACAACTGGACTAAGCAACTGAATGTTTGTGGTGTCCCTTATGGAAAAAACTAATGAATTCCACGTGAACACGTGTGATCTTGTGTGATCACATGTGATTTTATGTGACGTTAATTGTAGCTCCTTCAGGGTTATCTTTGGTCTCTTTGTTGCCTCTCTGATTAATGCCCTCCTTGCCTGGTCCGTGAGTTTTGGTGTGCGGCCCTCTCTTGGCAGGTTTGTTGTGGTGCCATATATTTTCAAATATTTAATCATGGATTTAATGGTGCTCCGTGGGATGTTCAAAGTTTCTGATATTTTTCGTATAACCAACCCTGATATGTACTTCTCCACAACTTTGTCCCTGACCTGTTTGGAGAGCTCCTTGGTCTTCATGGTGCCGCTTGCTTGGTGGTGCCCCTTGCTTAGTGGTGTTGTAGACTCTGGGGCCTTTCAGAACAGGTGTATATATTCTGAGATCATGTGACACTTAGATTGCACACAGGTGGACTTGATTTAACTAATTATGTTTCTTCTGAAGGTAATTGGTTGCACCATATCTTATTTAGGGGCTTCATAGCAAAGGGGGTGAATACATATGCACACACCACTTTTCCGTTATTTATTTATTTGAATTTTTTGAAACAAGTAATTTTTTTCATTTCACTTCACCATATTTGGACTATTTTGTGTATGTCCATTACATGAAATACAAAAAAAAATCCATTTAAATTACAGGTTGTAATGCAACAAAATAGGAAAAACGCCAAGGGGGATGAATACTTTTGCAAGGCACTGTATTTAACAAAGGTGAGATTTACTTAGAAGTCCAAAGTGTAGGAATACAGATGTGGTGGCATAGCAGAAATATCATAATGCCGTGAACCAAGAGGTTGTGAGTTCAAATCACAGATGATGACACATTTAATAATAGTTGCTGTATAAATAGACATACACAATGTAGTCAAATATGTAAGATGAAAACACTGTGTGTGTGTCATAGACCCATTTTTTGTTGTCCAAAAACACGTTTTCACATGTGAAATATTTTTTTGCATGTGCGTGTGTGAGTTAATATTGGACATGTTCACTCAATCAAAGTCACAGTTGTGACAGTGGTATGGTAGTCCTGGGCTACAGGCTTGGAGGGCCCATCATTTGCATTACCAGCACCCAGACCTCCTTAGGCTTGTTCCAACTAACCTTGACCCTTGCTGTCATTAGCTATCTTCAATTTTAGCTACGTGTTCAAAATTTAGCATTGCTAACTTACATCAAATATATCTACACACACTGGTTATAAACCTGATATATGTTTGGTGAATCTAATGACAAAGCAAGTGATTCCATCGCAAAAACACATTTGGTCAAAAAATGACTTTCTGATATCAAAATCAGATTTCTGTCAATAAAATCTGCAGTCTATCACAGGGTCTCGCTTCTTCACATAATGGTTGAGGACCAAACTGAGCATGTGCACAGTGATTCACATGATTCTAGCTTGTTCCTGATTAGAGATATTGAGAGTGTTACAACTATCCTGTGTTACAACCATCCCCGGTCTCCCTTATGTCAAAATATGCTGTAATTAAAACGGCCACACAGTCCATAATCTACAGACAGCACCACAGCCTGTCCCACACACCATAATTAAAATGGCTAGGGATGGCGTATCTCTGTTGCTGCAGTTATGGTGGTGTTTTCTTTGGAGCTTGTGTTGCTTTATCATTATCCTCAATGGTCACTGTTCTTTCTGTGATGATGTTTGATTGTAAGTTTTGGCCTTTCAGTCCCTTTAAAAACCTCAGGACATTAGTGGTCTATGTGAGTAGCATACACTTAACAGAGTCGAATCATCACCCTGCTAGGGACTAGACAGGAGTTATTTTACAGATATCGAGCCTCTCCCTTCACGCCACAGTGAGCAGGATAAGCTGCTCTAGCAGCACAGCACAGCTTCCAGAATCTGTCGCAAATGGCACCCCATAGGCCTCTGTTCATAAGTAGGGCACTTTGTAGGGAATAGATTGCCATTTGGGACACAGCATCCAGACTCAGGCGTTTCCCTGAATGACTGTGGGTTAGCTAAGGACTGGTGTATTATACAGTGGATTTGATCTGCTACTGAAGTGCCAAAAGGACCTAAAGGACATCAATGGTTTGCATCCCAAATGGCACCCAATTCCCTATTTAGTGCACCATAGGGTTCTGGTCAAAGCAGTGTACTATATAGGGAATAGGGTGCCATTTGTGACACAGGCAATTACTGTACTGACGTGACACTGCCTGAACCAACTAAGATACTTCACTGATCAATCTTCACACTGTTCAGTAGCACATCACTGGAAATCCCCATCACTCATAAAAGGCCTGGGCTAGAAGTTCACCCTTGTGTAACAGCAAGACAATTATAAGATGACAGAAAAGGAATAAGGTAGTTTTAGATAAATTGTGTGAAAGTGATATTAATAATTTATGCATACTATACCTACTAGGCTACTTATACTACTCTAAGGGCAGCATTTCATTCCATACTATAGCCCCATGAGCACAAGACATGAAAAGATGTTGAAAATGTTGAAAAGTCACATTTTTGGTTGAAAATATGTTGAAAATATTGAAAAGACGCCTTTTCTGGTTGAAAAGATGTTGACAGTGATTACAATGAAGACAGTATCACTATCATAAGAGACCGAGGCTATGTCCAAACTGGCACCATAATCCCTATGAAGTGCATTACTTTTGACCAGGTCCCATAGGGTAGTGTGCACTATATATAGGGAATAGGGTGCCATTTGGAACACATACAGACAGAGAAAGCTAACACGGGTGAGAAGAACGGATGTGTGGTCACAGCGGATGGTGTGAGGAACATCAGAGTCACTTAGTGAAGAATATACTGTAAGGGAAGTGAGTGGTAATGATGTCATTTTTTCAGAGAATTATTTTATTAGTGTGTGTGTGTGTGTACACGTTCATGAGAGAGCGCGCGCGCGCGAGAGAGTGTGAATGAGTGAGACCTTTTGTATCTGAGCCATTTTTCTCTGAACCCTGACAGATATAGCAGTCAGTCCACATAATGCAGGTCCAGGATGGTCTAGATCTAGAAGGTTAATTACTGAGACCCACCTGCTGACCCTTACCCATGTTGTTCTGCTCCAGGGGACCTGTCCTCCTGCGCTCCCAAGGAAACATGCTTCTCTTCTGGATGTCTTGTGGATCCCTACTCCCTCTCCTGGTCCTCTGCTATAATGAACAAGAACGCTGCACAATCCAGGAGAACAAACAATATCATGGTAGGGTCTAAGTCTAAGAAACGTTTTAACAGATATCGATGACAACAAAATGTATAAGTTGGACATATGGCTAAATGTTTAATTGTGGACATTATAGAAAGTATTATTAAGATATAGACAATATCACAACACTGCCATCCACTTGGTCATGTATTTTTTCCAGAAGTGATTGTAGATAATACTTTCTTCCCTATAGAGAGACCTGTACTCTACATCATACAGCACAATGTGTTCTAATTCTATTATCTATATCCTTGTTCCCAGTCCCTCTATCCACAGTGTCCCCTGTGCTTGAGTCCTTGCGGTGCTACAATGACTACACCTCCTACGGCCGCTGTAGCTGGGAGGAGAGTCCACACACGTCCGCACAAGCTCCGTTAGCCCTATTCTACTGGGACAGCACTGAGAACCGGTAAAGATAGAGCTGATGGGGTGATGAGAGGACGGAGGGAGGGAGGGAGGGAGGGAGGGAGGGAGGGAGGGAGGGAGGGAGGGAGGGGAGAAGGAAGAGGTGGACACTGAGAAACAATGTACTCAATGGACTGATGTCTCTCTCTATCTCTCGCTCTCTCTTTTTCTCTCCCCTCCAGTGAGTCCCTGTGTAAACCCTATGGTCAGCCAGCACTGAATCCCAACAATAGCAAGCTCACCGTCCAGTGTCAGTACAACACTCTTTACTTTGGCATCAATACCAACCATGTCTTCTTCTTCAAGACCACCTGTCCCCCTGCCCTGCTTCTGTCTAAGAATGGTGAGTTTAAACATTACAGGACCCCTGTCATAATTGGTTCTCAATCATTTTACATTTACATTTTAGTTAAAAGTTAGCTAGCAGATTACCCAATTCAGTAGAAATATATAGGGTCCTATATCTGTTTTATTTGACTATTCATTTATGTGTTTTTTCGTTTTTGACAGTGTGTGTGTGTGTGTGTATTTGTGTGTATTACAGTGAGGGTGCGTCAACCAGTCCACCTATCACAGCAGGCTGTAGAGAGAGGGGGCTGTTTGCTCAGCTGGGAAAGCCTCTACCCCCCCTCGTCCCTCCTGTCCCCCACTCTCAACTACCAGGTCAACTACAGGAGGTCTAACCAGGATGACTGGATAGTATGTACTGGAGTAACAAACAATTGGCTTGAGTACCATATCTTGTTTGTGCTATATATTTCCAACTCCCTGTCACTCATTGTCAAGGACAGAAGGCAAGAGGTGGTGGTCCTCTGTAGTTCAGCTGGTAGAGCACGGCGCTTGTAACGCCAAGGTAGTGGGTTCGATCCCCGGGACTACCCATACACAAAAAAAAAAGAAAATGTATGCACGCATGACTGTAAGTCGCTTTGGATAAAAGCGTCTGCTAAATGGCATATTATATATTATATTATATTATAAGAGCACAAATTAATCTGGGACCAGGTTAACATACAAGGTGCTCTCAAAGACCCCTATTCATCTAAGAAATGTGCTTCTGAATCTTCATAAATACAGTATACACTCTTAGAAAAAAGGCTGTTATCTAGAACCTAAACGGGTTCTTTGGCTGTCCCCATAGGATAAATCTTTTTGGTTCCAGGTAGAACCCTTTTTGATTCCAGGTAGAACTCTTTTGGGTTCCATGTAGAACATGGAACCCAATAGGGTTCTACCTGGAACCAAAAAGGGTTCTTCAAAGGGTTCTCCTATGGGGACAGCCGAAGAACCTGTTTAGGTTCTAGATAGCACCTTTTTTTCTAAGAGTGTTGGAGGACTGTTAGTTAACATATTGCTTATGATTTCCAACCCTCTTGTAAAAAGACATGCTAATTCTCATAGTTATTCATCATGGCATGAGATATCCCCCGCAAAACAAGCACAAGCATAGGGTAGTTTTGCTCGGTTACAAAATCATCACTTCTTTAGAATCATTAACCACTACCTCTCTGCTTCCTGCCCAGCGGAATCACCAGAGTTTCATAACGTTCAGGGGCTCAGTCCTGAAGAGCAGGGGCTGAGGGGGATGTGGGTGAGGAAAAAAGGGCCTTTTCTAAAATCATTTCCTGCAATTGTACGTCATTTTACATGACTGGAGACATTACAATAATATTATTCTATACCACACGAATGATCAAAATGTCAAGCTACTCTGACATTTACATATTGAGATCACTAAAACAAACGACCCATGCCTTGAATGCAACCAATAGCATAGGCCAATGAAAATAGTGGATACACAGATCTTAGGCCTACAATAATAAGGAGGAAATTATAGTCCATCAACTTTCCAGTGGCACTCACCTATTCAAACAGTATTTTCCTCAATTGTATTTTGAAATATTGCTAAATACCTTCTAGCTGCTGCCTGCTGTTCATTGACAGCCACAACTCAACAATCAGCTGTTTGATATTTTCTGCACAGGCTGTCCAATTGCAGGATTCCCAACTGTAGACTAAGGCCTATGCGCTCATAATGTGACAAAACACTATCTACAGCAATTTGGCTAAATTATGCTGCTGTAGTATTTTCAATGATTTCACTTATTTTTATTGAGACAGGAGTAATTATATAATTTGTCAAATTTATTTCAATTTATCTGCAGCACTTCCAGCACCCCTTCCTGCAGCGCTATGGTTTCTTCCATGTGCTGTGCTCTCCCCAAGGCCAAATAATCAACACATATTATTATTAATTAAATTGATTGTGGTCAGTAACCCTATATGAGGTTATTGTGTAGGTAGGCCTACTGTTACAATAATATTTAAAATAATCTAATCTATCAGCAAGTAGCCTAGCCTACAATTACAAGACAATAAATTCAGTAAGTCAATGAAGCCAATAGCGGTTTCAGCTAGATTGTTATTGAAACGATGTAGGCCTTATGACCTTTTTAAACAATAACAAAATATGTCAAAGGACTTGAATAGCCTATGGGAAAAGTGTAAAAATCTGTATTCGCATCAGTAAGCTAAGTGACTGAAATGCAGCAGAAAAAAAAAAAAGGAAAGTTCAGGAAAACATCAGGGAAGCTCATCAGGTAGGCTATAGCCTAATGTGTGTGTAGATCAAATCTGCATTGCTTTTAATTGCTAGACTAATGATCATGAGCACTCACCTTAACTTAGATAACATTACCCAGCCTAATTGTAACCTAAAATCCAAACAGAGATTCAGTGAAAACAAAAATCTGACATTGATTTATCAAGATGAGTTCCAATGCTTGTCTCAAAGCAGCACAATGACGCTGTCCCGATCAAAACGGTGCTGGAATTATCAGTTGACCACACATGGCAATTGCTTTACATTTATTATTACCAGTGGTGTAGTGCTATTTTTTAGGTAGCCTACCGGAGCACCATTTTTACAATTATTATTATGCCATTAATAAGCCATTTCTGAATGAAAGTTGGTACCGACATGAAACCTTTCATACAGAAAATCCTAAACCACCAAATTAGGCCTACCTTATTATAAATTAGGCCATCATCACTGTCAATCGTGAATGATAATTCTTCACGTTTTACAGGTGAAACGTCCATGCTGCATGCATGCCAACCATTTGATCCCATTCAGTTTCATGGGAATATGCATTTCGATCTTCTGAATGATGTAAATAAGGGTGGCTAACACTAATCAAATTTTAGAGCATATAGAGTTAAACACAGCCACCGCATGAGAAAAAAAATTGTACATTTCAGTACAATCATCCTAAATTGTTGTAAGAAATGACATGGTGTTTTTGGTATAACAGTAGCCTGACATTATCATGTTATTATATACGGTTTGTTATGTAGAATACTTATTAATCATTAAGTGATCTTGCACCATCCTGAGAAATGGCGGATCATCGCTCTGCTGCGCACCGGCAGCACTATACCACTGATTATAATGGTTAGATGACTTCGGGAGTTTCATATAACCACAGCTCTATGAACTATACTGAACAAAAATATGAATGCAACATGTAAAGTGCTGGTCCCATGTTTCATAAGCTGAAATAAAAGATCCCAGACATTTTCTATACACACAAAAAGCTTACTTCTCTCAAATTGTGTGCACATATTTGTTAACAACCCTGTTAGTGAGCATTTCTCATTTGCCAAGATAATCCATCCCCTGACAGGTGTGGCATATCAAGAAGCTGATTAAACAGCATGATCATTACACAGGTGCACCTTGTGCAGGGGACAATAAAAGGCCACTCTAAAATGTGAAGTTTTGTCACACAACACAATGTTACAGATGTCTCAAGTTTTCAGGGAGCATGCAATTGGCATGCTTACTGCAGGAATGTCCACCAGTGCTGTTGCCAGAACATGTAATGTTAATTTCTCTACCATAAGCCGCCTCCAACGTTGTTTTAGAGAATTTGGCAGTATGTCCAACCGGCCTCACAACTGCAGACCACGTGTAACCACTCCAGCCCAGGACCTTCACATCCGGCTTCTTCACCTGCGGGATTGTCTGAGACCATCCACCCGGACAGCTGAGGAAACTGAGGAGTATTTCTGTCTGTAATAAATAACTTTTATGGGGAAAAACTAATTCTGATTGGCTGAGCCTGGCTCCCCAGTGGGTGGCCTGGCTCCCTAGTGGGTGGGCCTATACCCTCCCAGGCCCACCCATGGCTGCGCCCCTGCCCAGTCATGTGAAATACATAGATTAGGGCCTAATTTATTTATTTCAATTGACTGATTTCCTTATATGAACTGTAATTATTGAAATTGTTGCATGTTGCGTTTATGTTTTTGTTCAGTTTAAGTGGCGCATTCAGTTGACTACAATTTTTTTTTACACCATTGCAGCAGCGCAAAAGATTCAGGGCTGACCCAAAATAATTTGGGGCTAAATCCCCGAAAGCCAGGTCCTGGTGACGTCCATGTTCCTGCCTCATTCATCTTGCACGTCACGATCCTCACCAAAGATTACCACGCTACTATCTGAGACTGAGTTGATGTCACAAGGCAGAAGTACAGAAAAAAAAATTCACCACCGGGAGTCCGATAAAGATCAGGGCTGTGTCTCAATAGTCTTAAGTGGTGTCCTCCCTTTCATCTGCACTGATTTGAAACCACAGGATAGGTGAAAGCAATTTAAATATTATTTCAGGAAGTCTACTTTCACCTGTCCAGACCAGGTGCTTCACACTAGTGCAGATGAAGGGAAGGAGGCAAAGAAAGGAACCCACTGGGCACACACTGGTTGAATCAACGCTGTGTCCACGTTATTTCAATGAAATTATGTTGAACCAACGTGGGATAGACTTTGAATTGATGTCTGTGCCCAGTGGTGAGTTACATTAGTAAATTCAGATGCACACATAATGTGCGTGCCAAATGGCACCCTATTGCCTATATAGTGCACATTTTTGGACCATATTCTTTGTTTCTCTCTGTGTAGGCAGTGGAGGTTGAGGACTCCCAACTGAGTGTGGAGGCTGAGGCTCAGGGGTCTGGCTGCCAGTATGAGGCCAAGGTGAGGGCAAGGGGGAAGACGGGACTGTGGAGCGAGTGGAGCCCCCTAGTGACCTGGTTGACTGAGGAGGGTGAGTGGAAACCCTACATACACTGTATGCACAATTATTAGGCAAGTCAGTATTTTGACCATATCATCATTATTATGCATATTTCCCAACTCCAAGCTGTATAAACTGTAATGCTTATTGGATTTAAGCATATCAGGTGATGTGTATTTGTGTAATGAGGGAGGGTGTGGCCTAAGGAGATCAACACCCTATATCAAGGTGTGTATAATTATTAGGCAGCTTCTTTTCCTCAGGCAAAATGGGCCAACAAAGAGATTTAACTGACTCTGAAAAGTCAAAAATTGTAACAAGTATTTCAGAGGGATGCAGCACTCTTGAAATTGCTAAGATATTAGGGCGTGATCACAGAACCATCAAACGTTTTGTTGCAAATAGTAAACAGGGTCGCAAGAACCGTGTTGAGAAAAAAAGACGCAAATTAACTGCCAAAGATTTGAGGATAATCAAATGTGAAGCTACCAGGAACCCATTATCCTCCAGTGCTGTCATATTCCAGAACTGCAACCTACCTGGAATGCCAAGAAGTACAAGGTGTTCAGTGCTCAGAGACATGGCCATGGTAAGGAAGGCTGAAACCCGACCACCACTGAACAAGACACATAAGCTGAAACGTCAAGACTGGGCCAAGAAATATCTGAAGACATATTTTTCAAAGGTTTTATGGACTGATGAGATGAGAGTGACTATTGACGGACCAGATGGATGGGCCCGTGGCTGGATCAGTAACGGGCACGGAGCTCCACTTCGACTCAGACGCCAGCAAGGTGGAGGTGGGGTACTGGTATGGGCTGGTATTATTAAAGATGAGCTAGCTGGACATTTTCGGGTTGAAGATGGACTCAAACTCAACTCCCAAACCTACTGCCAGTTTTTAGAAGACACTTTCTTCAAGCAGTGGTACAGGAAAAAGTCTGCATCTTTCAAGAAGACCATGATTTTTATGCAGGACAATGCTCCATCGCATGCATTGAAGTTCTCCACTGCGTGGCTAGCCAGTAAAGGCCTTAAAGATGAAAGAATAATAACATGGCTCCCTTCCTCACCTGACCTAAACCCTATTGAGAACTTGTGGTCCCTTCTTAAACGGTTGATTTACGGTGAAGGAAAACAGTACACCTCTCAGACCAGTGTCTGGGAGACTGTGGTTGCTGCTGCACAAAAAGTTGATCGTCAACCCTTTTGTTCTCTCTCTCTCTCTCTCTCTCTCTCTCTCTCTCTCTCTCTCTCTCTCTCTCTCTCTCTCTCTCTCTCTCTCTCTCTCTCTCTCTCTCTCTCTCTCGCCCTCCTGCTCCCTCCCTCCCTCCCTCACCTCCCTTCCCTCCCTCACTCAGACCCTGTGCCAGGCCACTCCAATGCGCAGTGTGTGTTGGATGAGGAGAATGTGGTGACATGCAGCTGGGAGGTGAAGAGAGACCTGGCTCAGTTCCTTACCTTCCATCTGTCCTGCAAACACAACCACACTGCACCGTGAGTTAGGATCTGCTGCCAAAGCACTGTGTGTATGCCTTTGTGTGTTTGCGTGCCTGCATGCGTGCATGCGTTCGTGTGTGTGTGCCCATGGATGAGAGACGAAACAGTTGACTACACTTCAGTCTCATAGATTACTACTCTCTTTCACAGCATTGTCCTCCCTCTTCTCCATCCATCCATCCATTTCTCTCTCCCTTTTGCCATCTCTCAAGAGCCCAGAAATGCTGTGTTAACACCATGGTCAGCGCTCCATCCAGGGGTCCAATGCTCAAATACAGCTGCTCCTTCCCTGTCCCAAACTCAGAGCAGCTAGAGGTGGAGCTCATCCCCACACGCAACACCAAAGAGTTTCAAACACACAAACACAGTGAGTCATTTTCACTCTGACACAGGGGTGATGTTTTGGGGAGAATAAAATCTCATAGCTGAGACTCAATTTATGATTATATTTGTTTTGATGCAATCCAGAAAATATACTGCCTCAGTGATTGTGTATCAGTGCTGCCACCTGGAGTTTGTATTGTGGTATCACAGGCACAATTTACTGCTGATTCCCAAGTGTATTCTCAAAAGTGACTCTAGAAGGTTTTGTATAATTTCAGCCAGTAGTTTAGAAATTAGTGCTCATGAGCCAAAACGGGTCCAGGGAAATTGTGCACAACTGTGTACAGCATCATCCATTTCGCATGATATGTTACGTCCTGCAAAAAATGTATACGTTGGTAAGTGCTTAAGATCCCGTTCAATCTCTTTAAAGATTCTTGATGTCTCTCTCTACACAGTTCGTCCAAACCGTCCACTCGACGTGCAGATAGAAGAGATAGATGGGAACTGGATTCTAAAATGGAATCATTCAAAATCAAAAGTTGAACTCTCCTATCAAGTGCACTACTGGAGTAATGAGACTCAGGTAGGAGTAGTATTTGATCTATTTTTGTGCTATACTTTCACAGGAAGTGGGATGATGCAAAAGCAATGTATTTTCATTTTCAGTATTACATTTGATCATCTCTAGATCATCATCTAAAGAACGCTCATCAAGCGAGATAGACTGTTGCTTTCTTAATCATCTCATGAATAGATCATTTGATGATGATTGATAATTCTACGGTGTCTCACTTGGTTCTGTCCAACCTTCTCTTTTTCAGGAGGATACTAGGCTCCTCAATGTCTCCCAGGGGTCCTTCTCGCTCTCCATCCTGGGGGGGTCCCTGCGCCCCTCTGAATGCTACCTGGTTAAGGTGAGAGCCCTGGTGGTCCCGGGAAGGGGTGATACTTTTGAAGGACCACCTTCAGAATGGACCGACCCAGTGGAGTGGACCTCACAATCAGGTAATGGACCTAGATGGTAACTCCTGGTTGAAGCATGTTTTTAATAGTATTCTATTCTATTGTTCTATTATTTTCTAGCTTGAGAGAGTCTGTTTTTGCAATCATGCCAACTTCTTGTCACTAATTGTCATGTCAATTGCTATATATAGCTTGGTTTCCAAGATGGCGTAGCAGTGCGGTCGTGTTCTCTTGTGTGTCCATATAAATAGCCTGTTTTTTGTATTGTTTTTGTATTTTACGTATATATTTCCCTATCACACTTTTCATCCTTCTACTAAATATACTTTCCTGCAACCCGCCTCACTCAATGTAGAACGGATTCTATTATTTACTCACCTTTATCTAGAATCTCCAGTTGAAACTAGCCAGCCAGCTAACTAGCTAACTAGCTACTTGCTAGTAGCCACCGTTAGTGGTTTTCACCCAGAACATCGCATTTTCGGCCGGAATAACTGAATCACTGGACCTTAACACCGGATCGCAACTAGCTAGCCGCAACCAAATGGATGTCGCTGTAGGCTAATCACCACTGCCCCCGAAGCAAGCATCAGTTAGCCTTGAGCTAGCCTCGAGTAGGCCCATATCCCGGCTATCTACCTCTCTGTCTACCGGACGGGAGTAGCCAGCTAACCAGCTAACTAGCTACTTGCTATTAGCCACCGTTAGGGGTTTTTCACCATTGTCCGTGGCCTGCACTACCTACCAGCCAGCTCTAGCCTGGACTATTATCGGCCAGTCTGCACTGCCTGCGTTATCGACCCGGATTTTCTGCCGGAATCACTGAATCACTGGACCTTTAACACTGGATAATCGCAACTAGCTAGCTGCAACCAAATGAACATTGTTGTTGGCTAATCAGCCTTGAGCTAGCCTTGAGTCAGGCACATCTCCCGGCTATCTACCTTTCTGTCAACCGGACGGGACCTCCTAGAGTCGACACGGAGCCCCGCCGATCCATCACGACTGGTCTGCCGACGTAATCATCTGTGGTTTCAACAGGCTTCCCGTTGCGACAACCAAGAAGATCCATCTGCTAGCCCCGGCATGCTAGCACACGCAAACGACAGCCGTGCTTCCTGATCGCTGTGCTGTAGTACCAATTCGAACTGCTCTCGGACTCACATATTGCTGTTCACTGGACCTTATGATCACTCAGCTGCACAGCTGATGCCTGTTGGACTGTTCCTTTACACGGTACCCTGTCCTGTTTATCTGTTTAGCCTCAGCCCAAACTTTATCGCCATTACCAGTTGTTGTCTTAGCTCTCTCTAATAACACCTGTGATTGCTTTATGCCTCTCTCCCATGTCAATATGCCTTGCCTATTGCTGTTCCAGTTAGTTCTTATTATACAATTTCACTGTAGAACCCCAAGTCCCTCTCAAACTGCCTCAAATAGTTCCTTTGTTCCACCCCCCATACATGCCGAGACCGGCTCAATCGGTGCCTCCAGTGATGTTATCTCTTTCATTGTTACCCAACGCTTAGGTTTACCTCCACTGTACTCATATCTTTCCATATCCTTGTCTGTACATAATGCCCTGAATCTATTCTACAACGCCGGGAAATCTGCACCCTTTATTCTCTGTACCCAACGCACTAGAAGACCAGTTCTTAATGCCTTTAGCCGTATCCTTTTTCTAGTCCTCCTCTGTTCCTCTGGTGATGTAGAGGCTAACCGAGGCTCTGCAGCCCCCGGTATCACTCCTACTCCCCAGGAGCTATCATTTGTTGACTTCTGTAACTGTAAAATCCTTGGTTTTCTGCTCGTTAACATCAAAAGCCTCCTTCCTAAATTTGAGTTATTCACTGCGTTAGCACACTCCGCCAACCCTGATGTTCTAGCAGTGTCTGAATCCTGGTTTAGGAAGGCCACCAAAAATTCTGAAATGTCCATACCCAACTACAACATTTTCCGTCTAGATAGAACTGCCAAAGGGGGTGGAGTTGCAATCTACTGTAGAGATAGCCTGCAGAGCTCTATCATACTATCCAGGTCTGTGCCCAAACAGTTTGAGCTTCTACTTCTAAAAATCCACCTTTCCAGAAATAAGTCTCTCACTGTTGCCGCTTGCTACAGACCCCCCTCAGCCCCCAGCTGTGCCCTGGACACCATATGTGAATTGATTGCCCCCCATTTATCCTCAGAGTTCGTACTGCTTGGTGACCTAAATTGGGATATGCTTAACACCCCGGCCATCCTACAATCCAAACTAGATGCCCTCAATCTCACACAAATGATCAACGAACCTACCAGGTACAACCCTAAATCCGTAAACATGGGCACCCTCATATATATCATCCTGACTAACTTACCATCTAAATACACCTCCGCTGTCTTCAACCAGAATCTCAGCGATCACTGCCTTATTGCCTGCATCTGTAACGGGTCCGCGGTCAAACGACCACCCCTCATCACTGTCAAACGCTCCCTAAAACACTTTAGTGAGCAGGCCTTCCTAATTGACCTGGCCCAGGTATCCTGGATGGATATCCATCTCATTCCGTCAGTAGAGGATTCCTGGTTGTTCTTTAATAGTAATTTCCTCTCAATCTTAAATAAACATGCCCCATTAAAAAAATACAGAACTAAGAACAGATATAGCCCCTGGTTCTCCTCAGACTTGACTGCCCTTGACCAGCACAAAAACATCCTGTGGCGTACTGCATTAGCATCAAATAGCCCCCGCGATATGCAACTTTTCAGGGAAGTTAGGAACCAATATACACAAGCAGTTAGGAAAGTAAAGGCTAGCTTTTTCAAACATAAATTTGCATCCTGAAGCACTAACTCCAAAACGTTTTGGGACACTGTAAAGTCCATGGAGAATAAGAGCACCTCCTCCCAGCTGCCCACTGCACTGAGGCTAGGAAACACTATCACCACCGATAAATCTACAATAATCGAGAATTTCAACAAGCATTTTGCTACGGCTGGCCATGCTTTACACATGGCTACCACTACCCCAGCCACCAGCTCTGCACCCTCCGCTGCAACTTGCCCATGCCCCCCCCCCCCCCCCCCCCCCCCCCACACAAATTCAGACAGCTGATGTTCTGAAAGAGCTGCAAAATCTGGATCCCTACAAAATCTGGGCTAGACAATCTGGACCCTTTCTTTCTAAAACTAGCTGCCGAAATTTTCGCAACCCCTATTACTAGCCTGTTCAACCTCTCTTTCGTAACGTCTGAGATCCCCAGAGATTGGAAAGCTGCCGCAGTCATCCCCCTCTTCAAAGGGGGTGACACTCTAGATCCAAACTGTTACAGACGTATATCCATCCTGCACTGCCTTTCGAAAGTTTTTGAAAGCCAAGTTAACAAATAGATCACCGACCATTTCGAATCCCACCGTACCTTCTCCGCTATGCAATCCGGTTTCCGAGCTGGTCATGGGTGCACCTCAGCCACGCTCAAGGTCCTAAACGATATTATAACCGCGATCGATAATAGACAGTACTGTGCAGCCGTCTTCATCAACCTGGCCAAGGCTTTCGACTCTGTCAACCACCGCATTCTTATTGGCAGACTAAATAGCCTTGGTTTCTGAAATGACTGCCTCGCCTGGTTCACCAACTACTTCTCAGATAGAGTTCAATGTGTCAAATCGGAGGGCCTGTTGTCTGGACCTATGGCAGTCTCTATGGGGGTGCCACAGGGTTCAATTCTTGGGCCGACTCTTTTCTCTGTGTATATCAATGATGTCGCTCTTGCTGCTGGTGACTCTCAGATCCACCTCTACGCAGACGACACCATTTTGTATACATCTGGCCCTTAATTGGACACTGTGTTAACAAACCTCCAAACGAGTTTCAATGCCATACAACACTCCTTCAGTAGCCTCCAACTGCTCTTAAACACTAGTAAAACTAAATGCATGCTCTTCAATCGAACGCTGCTGGCACCCGCCCACCCGACTAGAATCACTACTCTCGACGGGTCTGACCTAGAGTATGTGGACAACTACAAATACCTAGGTGTCTGGTTAGACTGTAAACTCTCCTTCTAGACTCACATTAAGCATCTCCAATCCAAAGTTAAATCTAGAATCGGCATCCTATTTCACAACAAAGTGTCACGGTTTCGGCCGAGGCTGCTCCTCCTCCTTGCACGGGCAGGCTTCGGCGGTCGTCGTCCCCGGAGTACTAGCTGCCACCGTTGTATGTTATCGATGTTTGTTTGGTTTTGTCTTCTTTGTACACCTGTTTCCTTTTAGTGTTTGTCGTATATGATGAATGGTGATCATTATGCTGTCAACAAAAGAAGTCTGCTCATACTGAACATTGATCATAAGGTTTATTCAGATCACAAGCTTCAGCATGAGTTTACAGACACGCGTTGTCCGGAGAGCAGTAGTGTCGTCCAATTCTAATGTCTGCTCTGTCCTATCTTCTTCGTGTACCCCTATTTATAACCAATGCAACAAGATGGCTCCCTCTGCTGGCCAGTTTACAATACACTTCCTGTCTATTATATGTTACATTATACTAACATAACCAACATTCCATTTCGTCATGAAAAACATTTAACAAAGGCATAATCTTCAGATACGATATTCCCCCCTTTCGAGACGAAATAAACGTCTCGAAAACAAACCGAATAAGATTATGACTAATAACCATTTATCTCATTGAATATTCTTAACCTTAACCCCAAAAACATTCTCCTCTAGAGTGTAAATACCTTTCTATGAAATACCTGTTTATGAAGTGTGAATACATTACTATGACCCATGAAGAAATCTCTATGGAGTGTAAATACATTACTATGACATATGAACAACTGTTTATGAAGTATGAACACATTACTATGAATTATGAATAAATCTCTATGGAGTGTGAGAGCGAAAAACTGTCCAGCAGCCATCCATCCATATCAATCAAGACAGTAAAATTCTCTCACCGTCCCTCTGCCCCAGGCAACCACCGTCGGTACTCCAGATAACCTCATAACTCATGTAAATGCATTTGAAACTATGATGTAATTAAATACCCATGTAA